CTTTAATATTCTATGGTTTTAAAAACATTTGGGAGTTAACCCACATTTAACAAAAACCGGTCCCACAAAAACATTTACAAATTTAAAACAATGGGTGTTACCATTAAGCATCAATACAACCATAGCAAGCAAATAAGAATTACATCAATACAATTAATAAGGAACTTAACAAGTTCCACTCCATTCTCTATCACTTGACTTCTAGCTTCCATCTATCATTTTCTCTTCTTAAGTGTATCCTGAGATACATGGCATTAAAAAAAGAGATACGTAAGACAATAATGTCTCGTGAGCTACATGAGTTTGAGACCCAAAACATTTATCACATTTTCATCAAAAACATTTCACCTTTGCAAAACATAGTTTTAGACCATAAAATATTTTCAAGCATTTTCAAGGAAAACTCATTTCATACATTTCATAAATATCATTTCATATCTTCTCATTCCATTTCCTTTTATTTCATTTCAAAAGCCATATTTCCATATTTCATTTTCTTTTATCGATAAGGGCTAATTCCGGTATTATATCGTTGCCATTTTTATACTTAGGGTCTACGTCCAATAGAGGAACCACTCCCAAGTCTAAACCAAGGTGGAAAAAATCAAATCAATCCACCAAGGCATCATTTCCAAGGCCAAGGTGGAAAGAACAAATCAATCCACTAAGGTATCATAATAGCACATCTATCTCGCGAAAGGGAGGTGCCACCTTGATATATTCCTCTAGTTCCTCTCACGAGGTATCATGGCCCGGGCAGTTTTCATTTCATTACTCTCCAATTCCTTTCATTACTTTCCATTCCTTTTCATTACTTTCCATGCTTTACACATTTCATACATTAGTATCATAAAATCATTTCAAAAGTAAAGCACCTATATTTAAAAACATTCAGTCATATTTTCAAAACATTCGATCTTCCAAAACGTTCTTTTCTTTCAAAAACATTCCTGCCTTTAAGGCACTCTTTCAAAATACCATTTCCAAAAACATTTGACGCTTTCGTTTCAAAACAATTCATATATCAAAGCATTGCATTTCATTATCATAAAATCATTTTGCCATGTACCCCAAAGTGGGAAAATGCCAACACGTACTCACCTCAATCACACGTAGGTTAGATTATGCTCTTCTAGTTCATTTCCCTAGACCAATCATCTTCAAACACTACCTACACCATATATGGACATAAGTCATTAAAATGACCAAAATACCCCTCAAAGTTTCAAATACTAAATTTTATTGCTTCATACTATTCCTTATGTAAAAATATGAATATAGGCGAAAACCGCATATAAATCCGAGTCCGTATGCAAAAGTTAGGAGGAAAATACTAAAGTTCCGTCTAGCCCGACAATCTGCTGTCTGTGCGCGGGCCGCGTGCATGACTACGCGGGTCGAGTCCCGTAGCAGCCCAAACACCCTAAAAAAATCACTTTTTTTTAGTCTTAAACTTGCTTAGATAGTTTTGGTCTTTTAGGTAACCAATTGTATCACTTTTAAAGGTTTCCAAGCACTACTAGAGGATATTTTATCATGTCAAAACATTCAACTTAGTTCATTAAGTCCTCAACCAAAACGCTAAGTTTATAATGCTTACAAACATTCAAATGAAAAGTTTAAGAGCTCAAGTTGCCCAAAAACGCTCTCAAACTAAAATAAATTCTTCCCAAATCATTTAATACATCATTGGGTGTTGTTAAGTACATAAAACCACAATTTATCCCATTGCAAGTACTTCATCCAACTATGGAATCCCCAATTCCTTTTCATGTTCCCAAATTACCCTTGGGTCAAAACAATCATTAGAGCTAGAACTTAACTATCCATCCTTCATGTTAATGTTCTAATAACATATCTAGAGTGTCAATTCATGTTCATGAATGTCATCCACTTCTTATATGTCAATCAACATATAGTTATCCCTAGATTTCCCAAAATACCCTTATGGCCAATTATTCCATAAATTCAACTATAGATCACTCAATCCTTCATGTTCTTGCATTCAAATCATGTTTTTAGTATCAACTTATGATTATGAGTATCATATACTCATCAAATGCTCATATTCAAAGGATTCCATTGTTTCATCATAATTTCCCCAAAATCATCTAAATTCCTTGTTTATGCAACATTCTCCCATCATAGATGTGTTTGAGCATTCCAATTAGATTTATTGCTTCTAAACATCATCTAGGTCATTGAATCCATTCCAATCTAACATATAAACATGAAATCCCCAATTTGAATTTCTAGGGTTCATGAGGGTTTTCACCCAAATCCTCAAATTCATCAATGCGATGATTAGATTTAGATTGGGATCATCAAAAAAACTCAAGGGAGGTTAGAAAACCAAACCATAACCATTATAACAATCTAAAATCGACATTAGGGTTTCCCCAAGTCATGAAATTCGAATTTGAGAGCAAGAGGAAGAGATTTTATACCTTGTCAACCATTGTTTTCGATCATTTCTTGTTCCAATGCATCAATACTTGTTTGGTTTGAATCCTAGTTGTGAAGGAGGTATAAAATCGCCACTTTTGGGAGCTCTGAAGCTCAAATTTTCATTCATATGGCTGCATAAGTGAAGACTGCTCTTGTTTCCCTTAATTTTACACATTTGATCCCTCTACTTTTGCGTTTTTGTCAAAGATGGTTCATTCTTCCAATATGTGTTACTTTTCTTTGAGAATAGACATTTTAAGTCCTTGTCCATACATTACATAAATTTTGTAGTCACTTCCATTAGTTGAGTCAACCCTTGGTCAAACATACTTTGCCAAATCGACACTTTTGGTCCCTTAACTCTGAAACGTTAATATTGATGAAGTGATGAATCGAGTATGTAACAAATCAGAGTAACAAAAACGTAATAAGAATACGCGATGTAAATATGATATGGTTTTAGCTCTATTATACTTTCAATTCTTACAGAGAGAAAATAGACAAGTTCGTACAAAGACTCTTGTCTAACTCTAAGTAATGTCCCTATTTATAGGAAACATGAAAGCATACAAAAAATTACAAGGACTGAACATCTAAGCTTCATTACAAAAATGCCTTGTAAAATAATATTACGACTTCGACATATTACAACAGGTCTTCGACCCTTACATTCTCCCCCTTTGTAATAATGTCGACCTTCTTTAGTTCGTAAGAATCTGTATGGCATACATCATTACCCTTTAACTTTCCGTGTACCAAGAAATAATCTTCTTCAACTCTTGCTTGTCTCCTAGATTATTCTTCTTGCAGTTATTCATACGAAAAATAAAGTTCATATACTGGGACGTAGTATATCTCTCTACTTCGCATGCCTGGAACAAAAATCTCTTGGCCTTCCCATTCTTATCTTTCCCTGAGAAGACCAATCCAAATGGCTTCAAGTATATCTCCCCATCTGCATACTTCTTTAATTCAACTTGAGGCTTCGTTGGTTCCATGGGAGCTTTTACTTCCAACCCCTTCGCATTTGATAACTCCACATCAGTCAGTGCCAAACACTCATAGTAGTTGTCTATGAATATCTTGATGTGAGCAAGCCCAAGACGAAAAACTTCTGGATCAGTTTCTCGAATATACGAAGCATCTTTATCGTTTAAAAGCAATGCAACTTGTATAAGATCATACAAGTTCATCAATGGAAAATCAGCCATAGAAAAATCACAGACTTGACCATTCGCCCTTGTAACAAAGAAACGAAAATTATGCATCAAGTTCTCGAACATAACATCCTTCTTAATACTGATCACCTTCTTTATCTTCACAAGTGACCATATTTCCTCTGGAGCTTTCCCAAGAACAACATGAAACCTGAGTTTCATATATGTATAGTCATCATCATTATCGAATTTCTCATTAATTTTGTACTGAGCTATGATGAACATCATTTCATTTATTGGAAAGTCAAGCTGACTCATATCTGTATTCGCAACTATATAGCTCTGCTTGGGCTTCTTCTCAAAAGCATACATATGATTGAAAGCCACTTTTGCTTCAATTGTTTCATAGTTGTAATGCTTAGCAGGATCTCCCTTGTCCTTTCCAGGAGGGTCACTTTCACGAAGTCTCATTATACTCTGAACCACTCATAATTTCTCCAACTCAGATTCAGCTTCAGCTTTCTTCTCCTCTTTCGACTTTTCGACTACAATTGTTTTCCCTTTGTCTTTGATCAAAGAGCTATCAATGACTTCTTTTGCCTTCAAACTACTACCACCTCCAGCAGAAGAACCAATCATAATTCCTTTAGAAATTGGCCTTGTAATTGGTATCGTGGTAACAACCGTTGAAGTAACTGGCCCAACAGAAGAAGAAAGAATTGGTTTGTTGTTGGAATCTTTGTTGAATAAACTTTGCCAACAGTCTTAACATCTTCATGCGAACTCACGCCAACCTTCGCATCACCAACCTTCTTTTCTCCCCCTTGCACCCCGTTGTTAACAGGTGGGACATATGTTGGTAGAAGATTTGAGATTCTGGACAACGGTGCCAACTGTTTATGCAGAACAGCTTCGAATTGAGAAAACTTATGAGACAAGAATTCTGGTGTAATGACCGAAGAGGAAACAGGCTTTACAGATAAATGTTTCAGCTCCTTTAGCAGATTAATGACCTCCACAAAACTTTGACTGTCACTTGTAGAAAGTTGAGTAAGTTGAGGACTCAAACTTTCGTACATTTTAACATACTTTGTGACAGCATCACAAATAATATCCACCTTCTGACTTAGAGATGCATAGTCTTGTTGAGCACTAGCAATCTCTTTCACCATATCTTCTCGAAGTTCTTGAAGCTTGAGATTGACATCTTCACGAACTTTCTTCACATCAAGAATGAACAAAGTATGTCTTTCTTTGGCCTCACTTTTTAGTTCCTTTACATCACGCAAAAGATTCGAGGACTGAGAGTTCACTCGTAACTCATTGTTCTGATCATGATGGTCCACCTTCTCTAAGATTCTAGACTCCGAGTCTCGAATCATTCCAAAAACTTTGCTAACCATCCTGGCTTCGAATGCTTTCATCATAACATCAATTTCTAAACTGGAGACAGATTGACTTCCCCCCATGTCAGCTTGAGACTGAATAATAGAATTTAACTTCTTGTTCAGAATTTTGAATTGCTTCATGGTCATCAACATATGATCAGGAAAATTCTCTTCCTCATCATCAAACTCCAAATCTTCAAAAGTTCCCCCAAAATCCCCTTCGTCAGTATCAGTGTCTTCATTAGGTTTGGGTGGATCAGTGGATTGGGATGAAAACAAAGTAGTGAAAGGTTGATTGAGAATGTTCTCGAAAGTGGGAGAATTTGTTGTGGTAGAAATAGGAATAATAAATGGTGGTAAGGAAACAAAAGTATCCATAACTGAAGAATCAGGATTACCTTGAGTTGATTTTGGAGCTTCTTGATGCAAATCTCCTTCAACCATATTGACATTTACATTCGTATTAGATACGTTTGCAGTGGTGTCTGAAGTTCGAACCTCCTCATTAAATGATTTGGCTAACGAATCTTCGGGTGGTATGACAGTTGTCTTCTCAGGAGTTGAAGTTTCTTTTGTAAGAATTACTTCGGGTGTTTTAGGCACTTCTTCGTCTTCAGAAGACTCCGCTTGTAAAACCAACTTTCGTTTCTTAAGCTTTTTCTTCTTAGAAATATGTTTTGCCATGTCTTCAGCTCTTCGTTTCTTAGAGAAAGGAGAAACAGGAGCTGGAACCTCACGAACAAGAACTCCCTGATGATTAATGTGATGTTTTCGAACCACAGTTGGAGTTGGAGATCTTCGTGAGCCGCGAAACTTTTTCTTAATCCTGCGAAAGACACCAGATTTTGATGGAATTGTAACCTTAGCTTGTTCATCATCAACAAGTTCCACTGGCTTGATCAAAACAGTCGAAACATGTTCTTCTGGCTTCGTCTGTTTCTTTGGTGACTTCTTTGGCTGGGTTTCTTGCACAGGCTTCTCAGGAGTAGCCTTTGCATCCATCTTCAAACGTTTCGATTTCTTAGAAGGACCAGCATCCTCTTTGGATAATAATTTTCCTGTTTCATCATCTGGATTGATAGTCTTCAAATACTCAACCAACACCGAGTTTGTTGGATCAACACGCTTCAACATTGCATTAGGGATCCTGGCAATGTGTGTAAACACCTCAGCATCATCAGAAACCTCCTTTGGAAAGTGATATTTCATGAATTCAGCAGTCTCTTCATCAACAGGCACCTCAATTCCTTCTTTATCATAGAAATAACGAAGAATCAAACTCCAATACCTTGCACACGAAATTCCTTGAACAACATTCGTGTTTTCGACACTCTTCTGAAATTCCTTCCACAATTGAGTTGAGTAATCCACTGAAATATCATAATACAAGCCAACAACCATAGCATAAACTTCCATTCGACCTTTATCTAACCCAACACTACGACCAGTCAAGCATCGTAAAAATATTCCAAAAAGAAAATTCCAAACAGTCGAAAGTCCAGATTTCTTGAAATCACTGATCTTGGTGAGTGGGGGTTGATGACCCATCTCATTGAACATGTAGTTAACTTGTGCAAAATAAAGATTAGTATATGGTGGAGAATTAGGGATATCAAGAATCTGACATAATATCTTCTTGGTCAAGCGTATCTTCTTATCATTCACCAGTTGGAAGGTAATAACATACATTGCTTTGCAATAAGTAGCACTGGATCCTGCTTGTGAAAGCCATGACAGATGAACAGCAAACGAGTTGAACATGGCAGTTGAAAGAACAGAGCTTTTCAAAGCAGTAATCAACATCTTCAACTCTTCTGGATACGGTGAAACATTCCCCTCGACTTGATAATTTGTGCTTTGAATCTTCGTAATCGGTTGGGAAGTGATATCTTCAGTAGTTCGGGATGCAGAATCAACACCAGTATGAGCAGCCATGATTAGGGTTTTGAAGCTATGTATAACAGAGAGAATTTGGGAATTTTTCTATTGTGAGCGTAAACTGAGAAAGAACCCTTGATTCCCCTTTTATATGTAACCCTGAAGTTTGAATTTAACGCGGGATAAGCATTAAATGAGAGCTGACGTGGCACCTTGAAACTCGCACCACTCTGCCGATAAAGTAGCCATGCGTCAAAAAGTAACTGTCACATCGCCTTGAAACCTGGACTGAATACAAAACGTCTTATCAAACAGTCTGTTCGTGTCTCCCAATTGAATTGTAACCGTCACAAACCTTCGGATGGAGGTTAAGCTCTTTCGTCTTTGGGTTTAGAGACGAAGTCATTTGCTAGATGTTCGAAATCATCAGCCTGAGTTGGTAGTACTCAGAACCTCAAGGATTTCGTGAGTGCAGTGTGCCAAAGATAAGATAAGAAGCAAATTAACGAAAATTTGGAACTGTGATGTCGAAAAACAAATTTTCGACACAAAAGCAGATAAACCCCAGGCAAAGGTTGCTTCATTAATTATCAAGAGAGATAATCAACTGCTTGTGTATGTTCCCGTGAATTTCAATCGAATACTTATAGAGAAGTATCGAAGGGCTTCTTTTGCAAGGCTTCGTGGGTAGTTTACAATTTCATTACATATCAACCTAAACATAAGGTGAGTAATTGTAACCGAAATTACCTGTTTGACCAGTGTAGTCAGGGACAAGTATGCTTTGAATTATTTTGCATGTGACTTAGAAAGCAAATGAAACTCACACGTAAATCATCTTCAATAAAATAAAATTTGTGTGCTGGATCTTGTTGGGTAACAAATATCGTGGGATTCGAATATTTGATCAAGACCACTCAAACGAATTGGGTAACAAATATCGTGGGTTCGAAAATTGGCACAGAAACAAATGTTTCGTTAAAACTGGAACTTAGTTCCCCGTCAATTCCTTAATTGGGTTCGTAAGGTTGGGTTTCACTTTCATCACAGTCTCATGATGTTACATCATTAACACAGAAGTTTGATATGCCTAAGTCATGATTGGTTTGATCAATGACCTCTCGGACATATGTCATTGTGTGTGAGAGTGTAAGAATTTTGTGATGAAAAAGATTGTTTTGAGAAACGAATTGTACCTCTGTTATTTTCAGACCATACAGAAAACTCTTAACTCATTTGAGAAGAGTAAGGTAGCTCAGTTGACTAATGTGAATATAAGCCTGACTTGGGAAGAAATTTTCGTATGAAAAATTTCATTAAGGCTTTCGTAAACACACATTAAGTCTTTGGAGGCTACGGTCAACATGCAGCAGCATGCTTCTAAGGACGTCCTAACTAATCCAAAGTTTTCGAAATTGTACCTTCTCATAGAAACACAAGCATGACCCTTGTAAAACTTTCTTGAAATCTGCACAAAGGAAATACACAGAACAAAATAACAAAAATCTTTTTGATGTTTTTGATTTTTCGAAAAGAAAGAAAATATTTTTGTGTTCTTATAAGTTTTTCGAAAAAGAAACCAATTAACAAAAGAAAATCTTTTTGGAATTTTTGATTTTTCGAAAAGAAAAGACAAAACAAATGAAAATATTTTTGGAGTTTTTGATTTTTCGAAAATAAAACACCAAAATAAAATCTTTTTGGAGTTTTTGATTTTTCGAAAATAAAGCTATTTTACTAACTAACGAAAAACATGAAAAACTAACGAAAATTTGACAAACTAACGAAAATTTGTTAAACTAACAAAAATTTGACAAACTCATGAAAATTTGTACCCCAAAACCAAAATGCACAATGTGTCGAATTGGAAGCGTGTCAAAGTGCTGAATGTCAACAGTAACCTCTGAGTGGTTAATACTATCAGCCTCTGAATGAACCATTATTGCCTCTGAATCGACACATTTAAACCATTATTCCTTATCCCCTGGAACAGAATTCCCTTCGATCATTCCAAGCCCTCCTAAAATTCTCACAAATGATTTTTCATCTAATGGTTTCGTGAAAATATCTGCCAACTGATCAGTAGTTTTCACGAAATGCACTTCAGTATTACCATCCTCCACATGATCTTTTATGAAATGGTAACGAAGAGCAATGTGCTTGGTCTTCGAATGTTGCACAGGATTGTGACAAATACGAATTGCACTTTGAGAATCACAATATAATGGGATTTTCTTCATATTAATTGCATAATCACACAATTGACTTTGAATCCAAATTATTTGTGATGTGCAAGCTGCAGCAGCAACATATTCTGCTTCGGCAATGGAAATCGAAACACAAGTTTGCTTCTTCAATTGCCAGCTCACCAATTTTCCATCAAGTAATTGACATCCTCAACTCGTGCTTTTTCGATCAAGATTGCAACCTCCCAAATCAGCATCTGAGAAAGCTTGTATGAAGAAACCAGTTTTCGAAGGATACCACAATCCTAACGAAATTGAACCTTTGAGATAACGAAAAATATTCTTGACTGCAGTGAGATGTGGTTCTCGTGGATTTGACTGGTACCTAGCACAATTACAAACAAAGAACATAATATCAGGTCGACTTGTCGTGAGGTAAACTAACGAACCTATCATGCTTCTGTAAAGAGTTAGATCAACAGCAGGTTTATCTAACGAAGGTGTAAGCCTTGTTCCCGTTTCCATTGGCACTCATAATTTCGTGCTATTCATCAATCCAAACTTTTCAAGCAGATTCTTCGTATATTTTTCTTGATTGATAAAAATTCATTCTCTGTTTTGACAAATATTCAAACCAAGAAAATTATTGATTTTGCCCATCATACTCATCTCAAACTTGCTTTTCATCAGATTTTCAAATTCATTAGATAAAGCAGGGTCAGTAGAGCCAAAAATAATATCATCGACATAAATTTGAACAAGCATTAGATGATTCCCAATTTTCTTTCGAAATAATGTGGGGTCAACTGATCCTTGTTTAAATTTCGCCTGTTTTAAGAATGAGGTAAGAGTTACATACCAGGCTCTAGGTGCTTGTTTTAACCCATAAACCGCCTTATCTAAAATGTAAACATGATTAGGATATTCTTCATTTATAAAACCTGGAGGTTGTTCAACATACACTGTCTCTTCTAGCTCTCCATTCAAAAATGCACACTTCACGTCCATTTGATAGACATCGAAATCTTTATGAGCTGCATAAGCTAAAAATATTCGAACAACCTCGAGTCTTGAGACAGGGGAAAAGGTTTCTTCATAGTCAATACCTTCTTGTTGCGAATACCCTTTAAAAACTAATCGTGCTTTATTTCGTACAATATTTCCATCCTTGTCGGTTTTATTTTTGAAAATCCATTTTAACCCGACAATCGAAACATCTTCAGGTTTAGGAATTAATCTCCAAACCTTGTTTCGATCAAACTCAGCCAATTCAGATTGCATTGCAACAACCCAATCAGAGTGTTCCATTGCAACCTTATATGTCTTTGGTTCGATTTTTGAGATGAAAACATTAAACATGCAAAATTCTTGATGAGTATACAATACCTTATTTTTCGCACGAATTTGAGCTCTTGTCAATACTCCTTCTTGTGGATTCCCAATCACTTGTTCTTTGGGATGATTTCTTGTCCATTTATCTAATGGTGGATATGCTGGATGAAAATCCAAATGTGCATCTTCGTATAATTCTTCATTTTCTGAACCTGCAACAGAAAGATTATCATTTACTTCGTGAAATTCATCATTTTGATTAAGACTTATTGTCTCATTATCATAATTTCCATTTTCGACAGAATTATAATTCTGATGCTCCCCCTCAACATCTTCATCCATTCTCCCATTCTCCCCCTCGAAAGAATGCTCCCCCTCAATCAAAGGATTCGAATCCAAGTGCTCCCCCTCCACTGTATTATTAAGCATACTTTCGCCAACTCCTGGAGAATTCGTTGTTGAAATCCGATCAACAATAGTTTGAGTGGGTTCGGAGTCATCAATATGCTTCGTAGATTCAGATTGTTGATTATCATTCGCATGAACTTCAACATCCACAGCCCTGTCACGAACACCAAAAATTAAATCATAATCAAAATCAGATGA